CCCAGTACTAGTACAACAACAATAACAACAATAAACAAAAACAAAAGCAGCCATTTGTAAGCTGTAAATGTCCAATTTGTAAATTGGAAGCCCTACAAAATGACTGTGCGTTAAAGTCTGACTGAGCAACAGGACTGGGATATAGAAGGTCATTAGAGCCATATGGGAAATGGACATGGTGGCTTGCCATGGGGCTGACCCAAACACAGGCTCCAGAGGAGGCTTACCACCTTCAGGATTCTGGCCATTACCTCATGGGAATGTCTTAGCTTCTTCATCTGTCCTGCGTCACACACCACAGGCTCAGTAAGTCAAGCACAGTGCCAAACCCTGGACAGACTCAGGTGAGTAACATCACGAGCCTCGGTCCTGGAGCTGGTGTGTTGCCAGGCATACGGGACCTTGGGATGGCGACAACTGCGGGGGAACTTGGGAGGTGGGAGCTGTCCAGCTGCCTGGGTGAGAAATACGAGGCTATCTTATCAAAATAAGCCTCCCATGCCCACTCTCTCATCAGACTTGGCTCTGGGACCAGGAGGCGGTCTGAGGCTTTATGTTAGTATCTGAGCTTTTAAAAGGGAGGAGAGCTTGGTCCCTTCACCTACAGAGAATCCCTCTGGCTGGGTCTTCTGTCACACTGGGCTCCAGACTCAGGTTATTTCCATGCCTTGCTCTGAGTTGTTCTAGAGAACCATGATATCTAGTAGTGATGTTTGACGGAGGTGACTTTTTAACCAGCACTGGAAAAATTGATGTCAGGTCTCTGAGCTCAATTGTTTAAACCTTTCCACATATAAAGGTCTTCTCTTTCCCCTACAGCTTGCAGTATCTATCTGGGAGCAAGAGTCACAGCTAGCTGCTCAATTCATTTCATTCATTCATTCTTTCTTTTTGTTCTCAGAGGAGCTCTAAGGACCCCATTCTATGCTTTGCCTAGTCACTTTGGAAGTTTTCCTCAGGCACAAATGGACACTTAACAAGTTGTGCAAAATCAAACCTACCCTGATGAGAGAACAAATGTCCTGCGCTCCTCAGATACCATCTTCTGTGTGCCCCAGTCCACAGTGTCACCATGTTTCTTTCCTGTCTTCTCTACTGGGCCAGAGTTCCTTGATGGCAGCAGGGAGCCAGCATCCTGAGTGGGCTGTGGCAGCCCACATGGAAGGCGTTGGCTATAGTATTGGTGATTGTGTGTTATTGTATTCAAAACTGACAGGCACAGTCACATCCCAGGCTAGTATTGTAGGCTGAAGTCACCAGCACAAGAAGAACATCCCAGTGCTAAATGAAGCTGTGAAGCAACAGGAACAGGTCTTTGCCCCTCAGGAGGGGTTAGTGAACCCCCTGCTAAAGTACAAGGTGATCTGGAAGAACTCAATTTACACCCTTGGCTCCCATGGGCTGGGGGATCAGCAGAGGGCGGGATAATCCCAGCTTCTCGAGCAGATGGTTTCTGACTACCGCTTGACCCAGTTCCCTCCTAGCAGATGACCAGCAGCAGGGCTGACAGGGAGCTCCACCAGGGGAGCAAGTGTGGACCCTCCTCCCACCAGCCAAGACATAGTGGCTTTTGCCTTTCCCTGGTGCCAGGTCAAGCAGTAGGATGCTGCACTTTACCTTCCTTCCTTCTCTACATTCCAGCCCTACGTAGCCCACGTGAAGCTGGCAAGAAGGAATGGCCTCCAGGGTGTGCTGGGGAGTGAGAGGTCTTAAATCCTTCACTGATTTAATGAGTCATTCATTCAATCAACCACTCCTTCAATAAGCTCTCCCTCGTCATGTCAGGTCTGGCACCATACAGGGCCTAGAAGGCCTGGTCCTTGGGTTAGAGATGGACAGGTAATGATCCTGGGCCCAGGAGCCTAATCAGGCAAATCACTGCTCAGGGCACAGGTGGGAGAAGTCTTCACTATGGAGAAAAGGCTGGTCTGGGTCCTGAAGACTGAGAATCAAGGGGTGGCATAGATCAAGAACGCATTGTACTCATGAACTGACATGTTGAACCGGAATCCGTTTGTACAACTAGTTAAAGGTAATGATAATAGTATTAATAAAATCATAAAAAGACTGGGAATGAGTTTGCCAAGTGATGGGTAGTGGAGTGTGCCTGATAAGATGCAGGCAAACTCACCAAGGTGGTCCAGCCAAGTTCAGGCCCTTCTTGCAGAATGCATTGATCCAGGCTGCCTTGAAGGCAGAGACATCTCCGACCTGCCCAATGATGGCAGGCTCCTGGACAGGGTAAAGGGTGGGCCTGGCCTGGGAGCAGCAGAGGAGGGGCTCTTGAGAAGGTCCTAAGGAGGATAGAAGGCTGCTACCTCTGGGATCCTAGGAGGATCCCGTTTCTGACTTTGAATTAGCAAACTCACATGTAGCCTAATTTTGCCATGTGGACTTCAGGTCGGTTCCTCCAACTGGGAGGGAGGGGGCGCTCAGCCTCCAGACTTGCCGGCCTCCACAAGGCTGCAGTCCTGGCCAAGCTCCACAGTGCCCAGAGGTCCCCAGTGTGGGGGTAGAGGAGATAGGGGAGGAATTGTGGATTTTCCCCATAGTCCTTCATTCCTCAAAACTCAATACTGGAGGGAAGCCAGAATACCCTCCCATCCTACTGTTCTTTCAGGGTTCTGCCTGTTGCACTGTGAGTGAGGGATTGGTGTGTGTGTGTGTGTGTGTGTGTGTGTGTGTGTGTGTACCCTCTGGGCATTGTCCTGTTGCCCCAGACTCAGGTGAGGGCAGGAGTAGGGACAGAAAAATCAGTGCACTGGGATGCCTTTCTTGTCTGGTGGCCAGCGAAGGGTGCTCTGGAACCATCTTTTCTCAGGTTCTGTAAAGTGCCTGGCACGGGTTGTCTTGTATGGACCAACTCACCAGGCAGCTGTCACGGTGCCTTATGTACAGATGAGGAGGTAGAGCCCGGAGAAGTTAGGATTCTATTCAAGGTCATTCTTACAAAGCTGGCAGTGCCTGGGCCCCGAATGAAACCTGGCTTTGAGGCCAATTTTGCCGAGGTGGGGATCTGGCGGGTCTACCAATCCAACAAGCCCTGGGACTCAGAGGCCTCCTGGCCCCGGGAGCTGGGTCCCACACCAAGGCGGGCGGACCTCCTGACTGGCCTTGGCAGACGCAGCGTGTGCCGATGCTTCCAGCTGCTGCCACCTCCTCTTGTCATCCAGCCTGCAGGGACAGCGCCGCGCCCAACGTCGGCCCAGAGCACTGGGTGGGGGGGGGGTGCACTGCAACCCAGGAGCGGCACCCACGCGCAGATCCTGCCTGCTGCCTCCGGCCTTACCAGGCCAACGCGTGAAGGAGCCCCCCACGAGGGCTGGGGTCCGGAAGTCGCTCGGGCCCCCCGTTGGGGGCGCGCGGCAGCGGACAGAACAGGGTCGGCAGGTGGGGGCGAGCGTCCGAGCCAGCGCCTGAATCGGGTCTGTGCCGTCCGCTGCCCAGCAGGGCGAGGGTCCGGGACACCCACGTGGTGGGAAAGTTTCGCGGCAGCAACAGTGATCTGCGGAGGGTGGGGCGGGGGGGCTCTCCTCCAGGAGAAGGAGAGGGGAAAGGAAAAAAAAAGAAGCTGGGGAAAGCGAGGGTGGGCGGGGGAGCGGGCAGCACCGACCTGAACAGATTCCGCCTCCCCCTCCGCCCCCGGGAAGCCGGAGCCGGGAGGCGCGGACCGTCTCCTCCCGCACGGCCAGGACGACACTCCCCCCGCTTTTTTTCCCCTGCCAACGTCTATGTAACGCGCGCGCACATACGGAGATCGTGCGGTGTTTTTTTTTTTTTTTTCCTCTTGTGCCCCTTAGAAGGAAGAAACGGGGAGTGTAAAAGAAGAGAGGGCAAAGCGAAGAAGTCCTGCTCGGCGTGCTGTGCGCTCCGTGCCGCGGCCGGGCGCGAGGACGCCGCCGCCGCCCGCTCTCTCCCGGCCCTGCGGCGGGAGCCGCGCTGAGCGCGAGCGCGGGCGTCCGCTCCCGGGGACGCCAGGAGACTTTTAGGCGCTCCAGCCGACCTCGCGGCCGCCGCAGCGGGCAGAAGAGCCGCGGACGAGAAGGGCCCGGCCTCCGCCTCGCCCTTATCGGCCGGAGCCCCGCGTCCGACCGGCCAGCGCAGGCAGGCGGAGGGCGGGAGGCAGCGAGGAGGCGGGCGGAGCGGAGAGAGAGGCCCCGGAGAGAGCGCTCCGCGGCCCGCCAGCCCCGCCACCCGCCCGTGGATGCGGTGCCCCGGGAGCCTGGAGACAACTTTGCCGGGTGACGCGCCGAGAGGACTGCAGGGCCCGCGGCCGGGGGCTC